AGACAGGTTAATGGGGTGCTGTGGGGTATGCCTACTTGGGAGACTGAGGCAGGAAAATGACAACTCTGTGGCCAGCCTGGACAACTCAGCAAAACTCTGTCTCAAAACAAAGCAAAAGGGCAGAGGGTTTGCCTAAGATTCACAAGGCCCTGGGTTCAATCCCCAGTGCAGCAGGAAAAAAAAACCTGGTTTGTGCTACACGTGCCTCACTCGTGAAAGAACCCAGACTGAGGCAGAAAGGACAACCTTAAAGACAAGCAATAACACAGGGTGTGGGAACTGAATGCTGAGACCTAACACTTCTGGACTACCCACGCAACTGTGAGCAAGTTAGCACTCTGAAGTGCTCTGCACAGGCGCTTAAGCGCACACGCACTCGGGTACACACAGATGAACTGTGCTAAGACAGCGGAGAACTAAAGCTCCCAGTGATGAGTAACTGACAGCAGTTATCATTCCAGTTCATGTTACTTACGCCACGTTCTTGTTTATTACTAAACCCACGTTCAAAGGCACTGAACAAGAGCTGTGTCGTCAGTTCTCCCTCAGTTCTAGAAGCTACTGCTTTACTCTACGTACTTTTTTCCCCTTTTACATGGGGGGTATTTGTAAGCCACCCTTATTTTATCACTCATCTCTTGAAAACAGAACTTCACTCTGATCTGACCTGTATATTCACAATAAATTCCTGCTGTCATTACATTTTAAAGGAATACCAGTGTGTCGAATATATTTGAACCCATAAAACTTCAGGTAGGTCCCCATTCTGGATGATAAACATTTCACCCTCCTTGGAAATGCGCAACTAGAAACACAACAGCAAAGTCTTTTGTTATAGTACTCAGCGGCCCATTAGCAATCAGAAAGTATTCTGGTTTCTCCATTACCACTTATCAAGTACTCATAACTAAAACTTACTTTGCAACAACAGAACTTTTGAGTGATTCACGATCATGACAGCTAGAACAGTACAACTTTTAAAATTAGACAGCAAGGGACTTCAAACATCTCCGAGTAAACTATGCATAGAACAATTAATTAAAAGATACTTGATATTTAATTTTAATTTCTATACATTTATAATAATGACATAATTTGTTATATTTCTCCTGGAAATTTCACATTTGATATTAGAATTCACTTTCAAAACAGTCTATAAGTCAGGTAATGGCCTTCGGGGCTAGCTAGTAGTACTCAGCACAAACATACACAACGTCACTGTTTTCCAAGAGAGAAAGGTGACTCAAGTGAGTCAGATACACAAATACTCAAAAACACAAAGGTCAACCTTGGTTTTTATTCACAATGAATGATACTAGTCAGTGTAAGCTGGCTACCACTGAATGATAGACTCAAAAAGAACATTAAATATGGAAACTTTTACATCACCTAATCCAGGACATTTTAACCTGAGTTCCAAATCAAATGTGACCTTCTGTGTATATGAATATTAGATATATTTTTCCCCAAAATAAGATCCTTCCTTGGCTTGCATCACAATTTCAAAGGGACCTACAACTGAAAAGATGCTGAGAACCACTCCAGTTACTGTAGAGAAGGGAAACTAAAGTTCAAAGAAACAATTTGCCTGTGGTCAAACATTCAGCAAGTGTCTGTTTTAGTACTCAAGTCTTCTTTTTCCTGAAGCATAATTAGCTCAGAAAAGATTGTTAATAAGCACATATTTAAGAGAAAAACAGATCCTATGACCTCAGGTCAGTGAGGGGAACCTGCAGGCTGACGTTAAAAGGAACCACAATGGCAGCTCGGAGCCGGATGGAACTCAAGCTAACCCAGGCAGCAGGCTGCAGACCGACCATTCCGAAGGGAGGGGGAGGGCCTGATGGAGACCTGCGTGTCCTGGCCCACGGCACAGGCTCCTGGTGCTGAGCCGCCTCAGCTGGCCCTCGGCCCGTGGCAAAGTGGGAGCTAAAGAAAAAACAATCTTCAAGGCTACAAAAGTAAGATGACACACCAGGAGAGAGGATGTAATCAATTCATGTAATACACCGTATCAACACAGCTAAAGACAAAAATCACATAATCATCTCAATAGATGTAGAAAAAGCTTTTGACAAAGTCCAATATGCATTCATGATAAAAACCCTATAGAAAATAGGAATGGATGGTCTTTCAAAAATACATCAGGAGAGATCCCAAGAAGGGAGCAGAAACATGCAAACGAAACACACCAAAACAGAATTCCAACAAAACACCATGATCCCTAAAATGAAACCCACTGAAGCAGTAGAGTGATCTGCCTTGCTCCAAAACCCAATTGAGAATTGTCTCAGGTGATCAGGGGCAAATTCCAGACGGCAGGGAACAAATACATGTAAAGAGTCACTCAAGTAACCTTTACTTTATTAGCATAGTAAAACACACGCCCCAAGGTAGAGCTTTATAGGTGATAAAGGCTGGCAGAGGAGGCTTGCCAGGAAGAGGGCAGGTGCCACTGATCTCCACCTCCACGGTGATGCTGCCCACACCCCAGGGCCCTGGCCACCCTGAGCCATAACTGCCTGCAACTTTCTCCTTCCCCTGGGTCAGCCTGGGGCACCTGCCCTCTGTGGATTTCCCCCTTTTATCTGTAAGAATGGAAGCCTTGTTCCTGCAGCGAAGTGCTTCTGCTGACTCTCTTCATGAAGCAACAGTTTATCAGGGACTCTGGAAATACTACAGTGCCTTCCAGGACACAGGTATACATGATGCACACACAAACATAATAATGTAAGCAGTGAACACTGATTTCACCAAAAGTTTTAGTTGCTGGGAGAACTGAAGTAGGTTCAAGGGAAGCTTATTTCAAAAAAAAAAAAAAAAAAAAAAAAGGCTGGGGATACAGCTCAGCAGCACGGCACCTGCTTGGCAAGCATAAGATCGTGAGTTCAATTCCCGGTACCAAAAAAAAAGGCTAAAACTTTTTCATACAGTCAGAAATAACACCACAATGAAATGACCAAGAAAAGAAAAGGTAGGCATGTTTAAAAACATACAGCAAATATAATAAAAAACCTACTGCTATTCAAAAGGACATTACTCATTTTTGAGCAGAACAATCCTTGTGCTATGAGGCTACTAAGACCAATGGGCCTGATCTAGTTTTATCTGTTTTGCAAGGTAAGGGAACACAGCCATGCAGATTCATTTTCCACGCTGCCCACGGCTGCGTCTGCGCTGTAATGGCAGAGGAACTGTAATAGGGACTTCGCAGACCTCAGAGGCTCAACTACGTACTCCACAGTCCCGTGCCGACTGCTTTGCAGCCCTGAGTCAGTGTCTACTCATAAGGCCAATTCTGCCCCCAAAGTAACGATGAAAACTAAAACCTCACACCTCATGTCTGTAACCCTTGTCCTCAACCCCCTTCTGGGAATGAGGAGTAGCAGAACTTTGGTTGGAGAGACACTAAAAAATTTTAAATGACTGCCTCTAGGCAGCAGAATTAGAATCTGGTAAGGGTAAAGGAAGGCCCTACAGCATGGGAGCCTGCTATCTTTTTCTTTTTCTTCTCTTTTTGCACTAAGCCTTGAAACAATGTTCCTTTAAACTATTTAAAAGCAAAAACAAATGAAAAGAAGAGTCAATGAAATTCAGTTAATGGTTCTAGTAACCCCCTAACATAAAATGCGTGACTGTATTTCCCAGTGTATTTTATACCTTCGTTACGGTTGCTCTGGAGAACTGCTGGCTGCACACATCCAAAGTTGCTAGGTAAATGACCCCCAGATAAAAGCGGTGTCTTTGTGCTAACTGCATGTGAGTGTAATCTTTCAAGCCCCCCCATCCCAAGAAAGGTCAGCCAAGTACAGTATGTTTCACACATGATCTTCAGTTCCAAGTGTTTAATACAAAAAGCCGGACAGAGAAAATGTTTCAAAAACATTTCTCCATAAACAGAAATAAGAAAAGAAAAAAAATCTTTCAAAGATAATATGTTAAATTTTGTTTAATTTTCCTTTATTCACTTTTTTAGCTAAGCAGACAGGTCTTTAAGTTGATTAGAAATTTACACTTAAAGGTGACATTTATATAGGACCAAAAAAAACTGACTTAATCATAGGTTAGCATAATACTTCCAATTAAGTACCTTCTATGAGAACTGTGATATTATGTATCTGTAGTATGTTCTACCCAGAAATAAATAACACACCCAGAGATGGACTGCATTATTAGATTTATCTAATCTTTATAATGTTTTAATTATCACATATCCAATTCAACTAATTTTAAAAATTGTCTGATTTTCCCTAATAAAAAAGCTTTAAATATATAATTATATTTTGTTAATATGAATCTGAAGAATAAGGCATCAAAAATGTTTCAAGATGCGAAAATAAACACAATTCACTACATACTAAAAATGTAAGGTATCACATAAAACAAACATTTTAAAATATGTAAACAACTTAGTTTGAAACCATATTTTCTTTTAGACTTTCTAAAGGAAAGAACTGCATTGATAAAGCTTATTGTGAATGACACTGGATGAGACAGGCAGTTAAGTAATTATAACTAATTTTGAAGCATGAAACTAAAGATTTTATATTTCAATTTGGAAATACAATCTGAGGAGCTTATTTTAGTGAAAAGATTCAGCTACTAAATTGTAATTTACAACAAATTAAAAATTGTAATCTCTCTTGCTATAAAATACCAAAACTATAACTTTTACTAACCCCATCCTTCTAAAAAATTAGTAAGAATAAATTTAATGCTTCTTATATAATTCTAATTATACGTTGTTTGTTTTAACGGACAGCAATTAATCTAGCTACACTGCTACTGTGGAGTAAAAAGAGACGTATTTTTAGGCATAATCCTAGTCAGGAGTAAATTAAGTACAAGGAAAATTAACCTTCCCTTTTCATTCAAAAGCCTAAAAATCTAATTTTGTCATTATTTTAGGCAATATTTAACATAAAGCTATTCCTCAAAATAAACATGGAGTTTTGGAATTAAAATATTTTACAAGTTAAAAGCTTTGACTATTAACTTACCTTCTTTTGATACCAGACTATAGCATCTGTGACTTTGGACGCCATTTATTCCACTGAATTTACACATTTGTCACTTTAGGCTGCAAAAGAGAAAAACATGCCAATGAGTTTATTTCTACCTTCCTGAGAGAGACCAAGCAGCGCTCACACACAGCACTCTGGATACTCACAGACCAAGGGGTGCATGACGGTACTTATATTACATCCTTCCTCATTACTATTTTAGCAACAGGTTCTCTTAAGTAAACAAAAATCAGCTAGGCTTCTTTTTGTGTAAATATAGTATCTGAACGTTCTTACAAAATAGAATGAACTGTTTTTCAAGCAAATGGAACATTTTAAAAAAGTTTCAGGAATGTTCAAAGTTATTCTGGAAGGTTTTAATTAATACATTCACAAATAAGAGAAACCAATTTTCTCACTTAGTAACAGATCGATTTTGCCATGGTTTCTACCAAAGAACTTGTGTAAATTATTGTTGCCAATGGAGGGATTGACAGAGACGCCAACATCTATAATCATATAATTTTCCTTGATACTCAGTAAATTAAAAATTGAACTAAAATCAAATAACCAGAGAAGTTTAAAATTTATATTAGGCTTGGAGTGGTGGCACACAGCTATAATCCCCGCACTCAGGAGGCTGAGGCAGCAGGATCACTGCAGCTCAAGACCAGCCTGGGCTACAAAGTGAGCTCAAGGCCAGCCTGAACTGCATAGTGAGATGGTAGTGCACACTTGTAATTCCAGTATTTAAGAGGCTGAGGCAGGAGGATCACCAAGAGTTCAAGGCCAGCCTGGGATACAAAATGACTTTAAGGGCCAGCCTGAACTACATAGTGAGACCCTATCTCAAAAAGAAAAAAAAAGACAAATAATATTAAAGACTTCTCAGGTATTAGTTTGGCTACTATTTAGAAACCACAGACCATCCTCACAAAAGATCACACATATCTTGTATGTCTAACAGAGTACTGGGTCCTAAATTTAATCATTCCTTAGCCCTAGAGAGAATTTCAAACTGATTCCAGTCAACTGTTGAATGCTATTCTAGCCCGAGGACAATACTGGCCCAGAGAGCATCTCTGGTATGGTTTAAGGATAAACCAAGAACAGTTTTAAAACCAGAAACTGACTCTGGCACTCATCAAAACTAGGATCACACAAGGCCACACTAGATCTCAGGAAGTCACAGGAGCAAAGCGCACTGCTGAGCCAATCCCAGCACACGCAGGTACCGACTGCACAGAAGCCGCTACTGCAGCCTGCAACGGTAACAACAAACTAAGTATTACAGACCCAGAACACACTAGCACTCAAATACAATGAAGTCTGTTATTAAGAACCAATGTCAGACAATCACCCTCTAGTTTAAAGCAGAATTTACTTAATACTTCTATTTTTGACAACTACAAACCAAACTGTTTAACACCTTTCCTAAGATATTAATACTTTAATGGATCAAATCTAAGCAAAAATGTTTTGAAATTCCTGTCAAATAACATGACACAGTGGAAAGAGGAAGATCACAGAATGAAAAGACCTGTGGAGTTCAAACGTAACCCTCAAGAAAATACTTCGCCTCTTGTAAAACAGGAATACCTGTACCTATTCCCCCTTACAGGGTTTTTGTGACCAGTAAGTAATATACATAAGATGCCTACCACAGTCCAAAACATACAGATACCAAATTAGAACTGTTTTCATTATTAATTTTGATATTTTAAAACTGTCCCAGGGGTGGGGAGTGTAAGGGGATTAAAATAGAACCAGCTTGTGCTATATATAAGCACCTCCTTCCTAAAGTGAATGTGAACTTAATGTAGTGCAAACATACACTAATAAAAAAGGCAAGAGGGAAAAATACCCCCCTCAAAAATCTGTAGGACAGGAACTGGGGGGTGTCTGTGTTTCCTTTTTAAATGAAACAACTGAGAGACCACGAACGGTGGCGCACACCCGTCACCCCAGCACTCTAGGAGGCTCGGGCAGGAGGATCACAAGTTAGAGTCCAGGCTGGGCAACTTACAGAGACTCTAGCTCAAAATTTAAAAATTAAAAGGGCCGGGGATGTAGCTCATTGTGAAGGTTCTAGATTCAACCTCCAGTACCAGAAAGAGACGGGGAAAGGGAGATAAACAAAAGAAAACAACTGAGAGCAAGAACATACGCCATCATTTTTTGTTGACATAAAAGTAAAAATAGCTCCCTCACTATCGAAAGACTGCAAAGTCAATTCTCAACTACATGCACACGAATTGGAGATTTCAAAGTTCCCCTCCTCGGAAGCTTCTCAGTCAGGTGGGGTACCTTCATTTCTCTCAACAGGCTTTTGGGGAGACGCTTTCCTTTCTTGGCTTATAATCCTGTCCTGGAGTCGCTGGGGGTGAGTCACGCGTTTTAATCATGTTTTGTTCTACAGAAGTGCACAACGATTCTGCTACACGAGTGTTCTGCTCGTGTTCCGTTCATTACAACGTTACACCTTCATTAAGTCTGTCTGGCAAGACAGTTCTGTTTTCCAAACTAATCAGTCTCCCCCATGCAGACTGTAAGAAATGGACAACAAAGAAAGAACATCTACTTTTCTTAGTACTCCTTTTACTTTACACAATCTTTACTGAAAAACTTTCAGATCACCTACTAAGACAAATCTCCTGCCCTTACCCCTCCAACAGTGCAAACATACATTTCATATACAAATACGAAAGTGTTTATTAACAAATCTATGAAATGTATGAGATATTTAATATACTTAGGGACTATTTAAATGCTCATATATAAATAATACTGAAACCAAAAAAGAAAGAGAATGGGCTTCAATAAAGGTGGGCAAAAAACACTGTCTGCCTCAAAACAAGATAAGCTGACAGACAATTTTGATACGTATTTATCAAGCTACATTCATGAATTTCAAATATCTACAATGTAACAGGAATATGAACTATCTTATAAAGTTTTAATTTGTATGGGTCTATACAAATAAAAACTCAATCTCTGTTGGTGCTTTAAGAAAAACCTTTCTTCAGAAATACTGTGCTCTGCCAGCTCACTAGATTTTCCATTGTGTCACCACCTTAGTGACACCGAGTGGCTCATACCTATTTTTAAAACAGGTTTTACAGCATGCTGAGAAGGATTCCTGAAGCAGACATGACAAAGCACCCTCGAACACCCAAGTTTCACATGAATACAAGCTAGAATTAACATACTGACAAATGCTTTTGTTATTTCTATAGCCTTTCCAACTTCTCTGATTCTGTGGCAGTCCAGCATGACAGTCCGGACACATCACTTACTTCCTAAGTACCTCAAGTAGAGCATCTAGATCATTTTTATAAGTTGATCTGATACAAGGATACGTATTACTGAAATAATCTAATCCTAAACCACGGGGCTAACTGTAAGAATAAAATTTAAATCTTGCTGCAGTTACCTCGAGCCAGTTCTCTCCTTGACCGATTGAACCACCATACCGATCAGAACACCTGAACTTATTCCTTACTGCATCAGCTTCTTCACACACTGCATTTCTGATGCCAAAGACGCGGGTGGAGAGAAAACAGGACAACAAAAGGGGTAGTTTGTGAAATCCCCCTTTACAGAATCTCAGTTTCAAATACGGTAATGTCCATGAGTATTCTTTGTACTGATACAGTAAAAATAAAGATGGTCCGATTCCTAACCAGCCCACAACAACAATGACCCCACAAGAACACTGGTCGACATCACGGCATACTTTCTCACTACTCCCAAACAGTCTCCTGTACTCAGAAACTGCGCCCTCCCTCCGACCCTCTGTGTGGGGGCCCTCACCCTACTCCTCTCCGAGAGGAGGCTTCTAACAGGAGCTCATGTGGATGGAAATCTCTATACTAATCCATCTACCATGTAACTAAGAATGCAAAATGACAGGGCCACACGGCTCACTTGATTACACACAAACACCTGAGGAGAAGAGGGGTCAGCCTTCTTTGGCGTCCCACTGAGTGCTGGCACACGACGCGGAGCACGCAGCAGAGGAGGTACGGAGAGCAGCGAGAAGCGCCGGCCACGCGGTAGAACTGGCCTCTGCACCCACGCTCCGACACTGCGAGCTGCACGCTCGTGTGCGAGTTACTGAGGCTCTCTGGGCCTCAGTTTCTCCCCAGTCCCACCTCGCCAAACAGTGCACAACTCAATAAAGATTCAACAAGCCACAATTCCAATAATGTACATGAGCTCCTCCAAATTGTTCTACTAACACCTGAAATTATTCATTTAAGATAAATCCATGTTACGTGAGTAGAAACGGTTAGACCAAATGAAAAGGATTTTTTTTAAAGGTAGTTAATGGGATACTCTTCGGGGTTGACAATTTCATTATTATCCTTTAATCACTCATTACTGCTTACAGAGTAAAACCACAACCCACGATCTGATCCTAACCTTATCCAAACTATCGTACACCAGCTTCTCATACAGAATATGGCTCAACTAAGCTGGGCGTGGTAGAGCACACCTGTAATCCCAGCAGTCCCAAGGCTGAGGCAGGAGGATTGTTGCAAGTTCAAAACCAGCCTGGGCTACAAAGTGAGCTCAAGGTCAGCCTCAAGCGCATAGTGAGACCCTGTCTCAAAAAGACAAAAAAAACAGAATATGGCTCAACCACACTGTGCTCCTCCACTGTCCTAGCTCTGTTCCAAAATTACTCTCCTCTTTCCAAAACGAGTTTCATGGGGCCTCCAAGCACCGCTTTCTTCACAACTTTCTCCCCGGCTCCTCCTCTGAGCTTGTTACACCATGTTCTTTGCTGTTTAGTATATGCTACTTTGTGTGGATTTGGTACAGTTATGTACTTGTGCCCCAGTCTCATCCGTAAGTTCTCTATGGGGAGTTCAATGTCTTTATCGCCAAGTTATCCTACAGCTTGTCTGCATTAAATATAAATGTTTACAAATGAATTTAAAAGTTGCTGACCAAACCACCACAGGTGAATGAAGTTAAGAACCAAAACTGAGAATTCCTGCACCACCCCCACCACACCCCCACACTTCACATTAAAAGGTAGGGTACTATGAAATGTAACATTCTACTTCAT